ACTGAGCCCACTCCTGTCCCCCAGGGTGAACCCTGCTGGGGCAGCCTGAGGTGCAGTGCCCCGAGGAAACAGCTTTGGAAATAAATGTCAAGATCCTCTCCTAAAGCCACATTGTTACCAGAGGGTTACTCTTGGTGATAAAAAGGTTTCTTTTCCTCCTGCTTGAAAATAGTTGAATAGATTGTTCTATATCTGCGGTAATGGCATGTTACATCTCCGTGCCAGATCCACAATACCATGCTTGTTCAGTGTGGGAAGCTGTTTAAAAATGACTTTCCTATTACAGTATATAGCTTAGTCTCTAGATGGAAAAAGCCAGATCAAAGATATAGCATTTATAAAACTGCTGGTTAAAAAGATAAAAGTGAGATAACAGACATCAATTTTTCACTATAAATCTCTGGGTTTACTACAACATTAAAATTTCCAGTAAAAGCAGGGTTTTATATACCTGAACTCTAATGGCCTATTCTGAAAATATTTATGTCAGGAAAAGCATGGTATTTGCATGCCAAAAGCAATTTTAGTGCCAATGTTTAGCATTCCCTTCCCATTTAACTCCTTCCCAACTACTCATGAGTGCTAGATGCTTTGTCTAGTGCCTACCCGGTGGATCTCCCTGCACAGCCTCTAGGAGGAGGACACTCTGTGTGTACCTAAGGCAAAAAGGCAAACACTTCAAATAAAATATCATGGCATGGCACAAAATACTTGCCTGATGGCTTAGGATGGAGTCACTAGCACGGTCTGAAACCAGTGATTATACCTCCATGTTTTGCCTGCAAAACTACTCGTTTCCAAGGGGCCAACTGCATAACCAAAGTGAACACAGGGACAGGAAATTGGGCAACACCTCAGAAGTAACAGGTCAAAACTCTACATGAGGTTTCTGGAGATATGGGTACTACTCCATTAGGTTTATTCCAAAATTAAAATCAAAGCATGGTTCTGTGAGAGCCAAGTGTCTCATCTTTTACATACAGGTGTTCTTATTATGTGAGAAGGGAGGGCACTTGGCACTTACATGGCCATTCACAGCCATCAGTAGGATTGACACTACAGAAAATTATTATTATTTCACCTATTTATTCTAATATAAACTTATTTAGGTAAATAATAGAGTCTAGCAGCCTTATACTGTAGCACATGGGACTCTCAGAGGTCCAGACTTGATATTACTTCAGTTTTTGGAAACTGTAATTTCCTAAATTTGGGAATATTTTATCAATGTAAGCTAATTTTCAGCAAGACTTTCCTTTGCTTCCCTGCTCCATACTAGCATGTGCAGGCCACAGCTTTTCAGGATAAGCCATAACATACATATAACTTCTCAAAACACAGCAAAAATACAGGAACACTACAAGCCACTACTTGTCTTATCTCTCAGGGCTTTTAGGTTTGGGGGTTTTGTTAGTTTGCTTGTTTGTTTTTATGGAATAAAATTAGATTTCAGCATCTGCCACCATCAAGAAAAAACCTCATCCCTGGCTCCCACATGAGAACATCGTAACCAATGCACAGTTACTGAACCATGATGCCTTAATGATCATTACACAAATCAACTTTTTTTTTTGAAATAACGAAATTAAGAATGTGCTTCCATAATTACTTGAATCAGACTGTCAGGCTATAAATTTAATAAAACCCAATATGATGAAATTGCAAAAGTAACATATGCAACACAATTTTATATATGTGTAGATTCTTTTAATTTAGACTTACTCAGGTGTGCTGATAAATTTTAGCAAATAATATGTTAGCGTTGCTGTTCTACCACTAAAAAACAACAACCTGGGATCAGAGACATAACACTTAGTAAATCTTTCAGTCTTCCTTTTGCATTCATTTTTCCAAAGCTCTCTTTTCAACAAAATCTAACAAGCTGCCAGCACCATGAAACTACAAGTATGCAAATCATCACACACCTAAGCCAGAACACAACCTCACTAACACTCCTGCAATCTCTAACTGATCCCATCACCCTTTCCCTGCCCTGTGCCATAACCTCTGCCACACTGAGCCCCTGGAGCCAGCTGGTTTGTTGAGCATCAGGTCCACATGAGGTCCTCCGTCACTAAGGGTAATTTAAAAACAAAACTGTTAATCAACACATTATTTTCTAAAATGTGTCCTCCAGACTTTTCACTATAACTGGAAGTGATTATTCCAGGATTTCCAGTTCCACTGCTGCCAACGGCACTAACACAGTGCAAAGGAAGATGCTCATTTTTTACCTTGGCGCTACCCAAATAGAAACTCCTGTAGCGCATCATTTAATAGCAATTCCATACAAAGTGCTCTAGTCAGCAGAACATTATCTGCAGTCTCCTGGCTCAGGCAAGCCTAGCCACCTTGCAGATGCTGGTTGCTTAGATATCTAGCCTAATGTTGACCCATATCAGTTCCCTAACATAAAAATAAAAAGTCCCTCCAGCAAACAACTACCTTTGTGCACTTGCAGAGCTGGTTCAGGTCACATATGGTGTTACACCATAACTCCAGACTACACTCAGGAGTTATCAACTTTTTATGTCCAAAGACCAGCAATGTTCAGTTTTAGTGATCTTAAAAAACAAAACTGTTAACCAACACATCATTTTCTAGTATGTGTCCTTCAGACTTTTCACTACAACTGGAAGTGATTATCCCAGGTTTTCCAGTTTAGAGCAGGGAACTAATATCCTCAAAGTTACCAAAAAAAATCAGCAATAGATTTTTTTCTCAAGAGAGGTCCTCTTAAAGAATATGTTTGGGCAAGTCTCTTATTTTGTGCAAGGGAGACTTTTTTCCCCAATAAATATTTATCTGTACCATTGACAAGCTCAATGCAGATGCTTTTTCAGTACAGGTATCTCCTCTAATATATGTGGCTTTGCTACATATTTAAAGTTTATTAATTAGGTGACTAGTAACCAGTTAGAGAAGACCCAACACATCTAGTTCACCTAATTGGTTACTTCTGCAAAGCACCTTTCTACTACAAATAGTACTCTGGCTAACTACAGACCTGTGAGTTTGCTTGACACATAAATTAACATTGTACTGCTGAAACTGGGAAGAAAAATTACTCTGGGAATACAGGTATAATCACCACAGTAAAAGAGAAAAGGACCATATGTTTGATCTTGTTTTCTATACTTGGTAGCAAGATTTGTACAAGAATCTAAATTTTATACCAATACTCAAAAAACCTGCACCACATCCTCTGGAAGCTTTTGGGCTTTGCAAATTACCTGTCCCTTTTAGACTCAGCATTGGAAGAGCTGTCCCACCCAGAAATGTTAAGGCTTTGCACTTAAGTAAACATACTATCGCACCAATCTGATCAGTCCAAAATTACATGGACTGATACAATGGCTTCACAACTTAGTTTTGCAGAAAACTACAGTGGAAAGGGGAAGGTGCAGAAAACGGACAGTTCTCTAACCCTAAGTCTTGACATGTAAATAAAGACATCTGAGGAGCACACAGGTTGGAAGCTGCTGTAACATTCTATCATAATTAGAAACATTTCAAGAGCCCTGTAATTTCCAATCAAAATTACAGTAATTTCCGATATACAAGCCATGATTCATGACAGAATTTTTACATTCCATGGGAGATTATAGTGGCCTGATGTATGACACACTGAGTACAGCACTAACATAAACAATTCAGTTTAATGTTTAAACAGCACTTGGTGTTTAGAATCCCACAATAAAAGAAACATATTATTGTTGAAATTATCACTTTGACAGTGATTGAAGGGTAGGCAGGCATGTGGCCTATAAAGCTGTAATTTTTACAGTCCACAGCTTGAGTTTAATCATTTTGATATAACATTTCCAAAATATCCCTTTAAATGCTCCTTAAACCATATAACTTAAGAGACAACATCCTTTCTGTACAGTGAAGTGTAGTGAACTCCAAAACGTGAACAATGCAGAAGTAAAAAGTTAAAGACTTGTTAAAAAGAAAACCAGCACTAAAATGCTTATGGTCCAAGAAATATTGGTCTAACTGAGCATCATCAGCATTCCCTGGAAGATGCTGAATTTTTCTGCGAAGCACTTTAGAAAAGTAAAGGAGTAATGATTAAGTGGACTTAACATTTAATCTAATGTGAAAACTCAACACTTCAAACACCGGCGCTTTACCATTTCTTTCAAGCATTGGTATAACCACAGTTACAGTCTTTCCCATTTTTATACATCTTTTTCCTTTACTTCTTGACTACATTCTCACTTAAATCAATGCTTTTGCATACTCCAGTGATCTTTCTCAGAAGACATGTCACTTATGATAATCACACCCAACAAGTGCTTGCTGATTTCCCTCTTGCCACTAAACTTGTCAGAAATTCTTCAGTTGAAGAAAACAGAATAGGAAACCACACAACAAAGGTTTAAAACTGAATACGCAATATATATGCACACACGCAGGTAACCAAGCAGATATCATATTCCACAAAAAAAATACATGTTTTCTCAGATGTAACTTGTATAACTGTAATTTGTTGGGGGATTTTGGTGGCTTTTTTTGACATGGCCAGTGCTGCCCACCTGTCATGCACAGCCTCACCAGTGTTTTTTTTTTTGCAAAAAACCAGAACCCTGGCATTCCTCATTGCAGCACACATAATTGCAGAACACCAGAGCCTGAAGGTTAACTCGACAGCAATACACAGAGCTTGCCCACAGTTTCTGTCACATACACACCAGCTAGGAACTGATGAAGCTGATGCCTTCTGAGCCATGCCAAGACCCACAGGCACAAGGTGAAGGCATCTGGCTGGTGGGGAAAAGGGTGGGAGACACCTTGGGAAGCCACTTCTCAACCCAGCCTGGTCCAGTGGTCCTGGAACCAGAGGTTACCTCCAAACTCAGCAAGGAGTTCTGAATTGTACTTGGCTGATATGCTGACCCGGCCATGCATTTTAACTCACACAGAAACAGATCAAAACTGGGGCAGGGGGAGTAACCATGCAGGACAGGGAGGTCGTTGTGCCCTGGGAGATTTACCTGGCTTTTGGTTGCCGCAACCTTTGCAAACAGTGCTTGAGACACCTTAGCTCTCTTCATTTCCTGC